ACTACAAGAACGATTGTCCTCAAGCCAAAAAGTGAACATCAAAGAAGAAGGCGCTCAAGGCAACGTGGGATGATTCAAGCGCGTCCGAAGAAGAGGAGTCCAACACCGAGCAAGTTGCTCATTACGCGCTAATGGCTTTAGGAGAAGAGGTATGTGATTTATTTAATAAATATTTATCTTTTGAAGAACTCTCTATCGCTTTTCATGAATTATTTGATGAATGTAGAACTATTAGCAAGAAGTTAAGTATCGTAAAGAAAGAGCATGCTTTGCTACAAGATAAGTTTGATAGTCTTCAAACTCCTCCATGCTCTAAGTGTGAGCATTTAGAAGCAATAAAAAATGAAATTTTGCTTCTTAAAGAAACCTTAAACAAGTTTAAGGTTGGTAGCAAAGGATTAGATATGATCCTTGCACACAAGGGTCACGTCGCAAATAGAAATGGAATTGGATTTGTAAAAGGATTACATCAAAATCCTACCACTTTCATAAAAGGACCTACATTACATATTTCCTCTTATATGAAATGCAACTTCTGTAGTCCTAGAACGATACAAGAGAATTTAATCCTTTGGACCTATCTATCCTCAATTATCATGTATATATAGTTTCTTTTCTATCTAATGCCCTAGAGATTGTATACCATGCATTATGTTGTCATGCCCATATGATTTCTACCCGAGTCTCGCTCTAATCGGATTCTCCTAGTGAACTCTTTCTTTCTTAATCCGAATGATTCTGGTCAGGAATTTACTTAAACAAGAATACATGGGATATTCCTCTTATGACATCGAGAGCGAATGATTCTCTACCGATACTCAATGGCTCTCGTAAGTTTGGCTATCGAGTGATAGAAAATTTTAGTACTTGTGGTGACAACTTTGTTTTTGTCGACTTGGTACGAGATTTTTTTAAACAGTATCAATAAGCAATAATTCGATTTAGAGTTTATTAATTAGTAAGTCGGTTGGAATGATAATTGGAATTTCATCGACAATACAAACAAGTATAGTAATATCTATTCGAAAAAAACTTTTATGCTATTGATAAAACTGTAAAGAGTTTCATTTTCAACTCTGAAATAAAAAAATTGGCATCATTGGTCCTCAACGATCAATTACTAATTTTTATTTAGTTACTGAGTCTAATAAACTTTATAATTTTGTTTGGTTTGATTTGCCTTTTTATATCTAGAACTGCTTTGGTTTAATTATTCATAGCACTGAGATGACATTCTATATAATCATATTCTATATCAATGGTGCCAAAGTATAAGCATATCTCACTATACTTGCGATGGGGAGGACGAGTTACCTGTTTCTTTTTTTGTTGTGTTCTGGGTGTGTTGATCGAGAACCCTTGCTCGTTGTTAAGGAAGTGATCAATAAAACATAAAGACTAATGTGTCGGATGAGTCAAATATCATGCTTTAAGACTCTAGTTAAAGAGCCATTGAAATATATTTTCGAAGAAAAACAAATGATAGTGAGAATGTTATCAACCACCCACCATTTAAATATGCATTTAGGGGCAAACATGACACCCCACATATGGACATTAATCCTAGATATGTATTTATGGGTTGTTTCTATCCTCATTGCCCTGTATGAAAAAGAAATCAAATCAAGATTATTAAAGGTGATTAAAAATTATCTCCCAAAGAATATTTCATAAAATATGTCGCTCTTTTACTATCACGTATAAAAACTCATTTTTAACACAGTGAATGGATCACTTTTTTATTATTAACTATTACATTCATCTATATAGGATTACTAACTTAGGTGTCGAAGGGATTAGCTCAAAAAAATCTCTTTTGATATTGATTTTCATGCAATTGATACTTCGAACAATCTTCTAGGAGGTTTGGTATTTCCACCTTTTAGGCACGTTAGACAATCCTACACACACGAATTTGAATCACGTGAAACTAACTTGAACCTAAACGATATATTCTCATAACAGTAATTTTAACGTGGATTAATAGTAATCATACCTAGAAATTATCTAAATCTAACACTAAGATGGTTAATAAATACATAAAATTTTCTTAGTTAATGCATCGAGGCATAAATTTCTTTTAATCTCGATAAATGAATGTAAAAATACAATTAATAGTTTCTTCAATGGAAGAATAAAATATATATAATTACTAACTAACCAAAGATATATTTAAAAAAGAACGATTAATGACAATCATTCCAAGAGATCATATTATAGTGTTTTGTTGTATTTAAAAAGCATGAGAGGACATGAGATGCAAAATTAAAATTAAATCTTTCATTCGAATTTCTTTTTACAGTTATGATCTATGAGGACTCGCTCACTTGTTAAGATCTTCAAGATCCTAAGAAAGATGTGAATCCTACCTCATCTTTACTTATCAAGATTTGTTTTAAGAGTTTCATATGTTTATGGGTTGATTAATGTTATAATCATCTAATGAGTGATTATAAGGTTCATATTTATTTATTAAGAGGTTCAATTATATTTTGCAAGGTAAATTGTATAAGATGTAATTAATTAATTAATTATAAAGTCTTAGATTTTTATTGTTAATTTATTATTAATTTTATTAAAATTTTAGTTAAATCCGATGTTTCAACTAACTCGAATTGTTAGATTTGTTACTCCGACCGGAGGATGTTCGAGTGAGACGTCGATGTTTCCACGTGCGGCGACGTCCGGCCTCTCACGGAGGGTCGCCCGAGACAGGGAACGCAATTCTCTAAAACGGGTCCCGCGTAGGAAATGTAGACGTGTTGAGGTCCGCCCGTCCATGTTTGGACGAAGGATCGTGTTCCCTGGCTTCGTTGAGACAGGCGTACCGAGAACTTTGACCGGAATCGGTCCACCCGTCGCTCGTTCTCTCACATCCTCCTATCTTTTCTCTATTTATGTAGTTACAGTTGGTTTGCCCTTTTCCTGCCTTCTCTGGTACGTTCTTCTGTCGAATCCATCCGTTGTTGTGGTTTCGATCCAATCCCATCTCTTCACTCGCTGGAACGGAATCCCCCGAACCTGAGAGATCGGAAAGAGGGCGAGGGAGGCGGACAGCGTCGTGGATGGCGAAACTCTACGTGCAGGCGGTGCCTCCGGTGGACATGAACAAGAACACGGAGTGGTTCATGTACCCTGGGGTTTGGACCACCTACATCCTCATCCTTTTCTTCTCCTGGCTTGTCTTCCTCTCCATCTTCGGCTGCAACCCGGGCACGGCCTGGACCATCGTCAATCTCGTCCACTTTGCCGTATGCTCTCTCTCTCTCTCTCTCTCTCTCTTGTTCTCCGTCGGCCATCGTTGCATGACAGAAAATTTTGATTTTTGAGCACTTGGGTTTGATTGTCTCAATTTGGGTTAATCATTAATCATTTAGGGAAGTCAGGGATTTTTTATGGAGCTGTTCTTGTCCTAATTGTGACTAGAAACAGCTATTTTGGTCCTTCATCTTTGGTTAGATTGTGATCCCCAAACTACGCAGTTTTCCCGGGGTAAAAAAATTTAGGTTTTGTGATTTCCTTTTATTAGGTTCGGAAAAGTTGGGGAAAAAAAACGAAGGAAGGCTTACATGGTCTGGATAGGATTCAATCGAGATCCTGCGTCTTTTATGCTTACGACCTTGGGAGTATAAGGAGGGTAACAAGAAGCTCAAAAGAAGAGCTTATGAATATTAATATCAGTTTTGATTTTTTTTTTCTTTCTATTTTGTGCGCGTAAGGCCAAAAAAGGTGATCTTTGTCGATCTAGGGTGTGGTGGATGAGTCTAGGCTTCTGATTAAGCTGCTTGTTCATGATAGATATGGAACATTTTGGTTTTTGCAAATAGAACACAGGTGAATTTGAAAGGCGATTTTAAGGGTTACTTAGTGCTTTCGCACCAAAGTAACAATTTTGTAATGTTATGTTGCTACTTCGGAGCTTAAGCTCAAGGGTCCTGATTTCTCAATGAGCTTCAACTTAGTTGGTAATCACAGAATGTTGTACTGCTCGTCTATAACTAACTAATTATGTACCAAAAATTTCAGCTGATTGGATTTGATGTATTTTTATACTGCTAAGTCAATGATTAGTGACTTTATTGCATTTTTTTTCCCTTGAAGTTTCACTCAGCAGCGCATACAATTCATTTGCAGAACTGCAGTTTTTTGTCATGAGAAATGCAAGACAAAGTATCATTTAATCTCATATTTCAGTTCATCTCAATAATTCTTTGTCCTCTGTTTCATACAAAATCTAGCCAGCATATGGTTCAATGGTTTGATCATTTTTTGATATTTTGAATCTTTTATATATTTTGATGATTTGCATATTTCAGATAACCTACCACTTTTTCCATTGGAAGAAGGGAACACCATTCTCTGATGACCAGGGAATCTACAATAGCTTGACTTGGTGGGAGCAGATAGACAATGGCAAACAGCTTACACGTAATCGGAAGTTCTTGACTGTTGTCCCTGTTGTTCTGTAAGTATTCTTATATCAATCTTGCTCTCATTCGATAGCACGTATGTGAAATGAGTGTTCACGAGTAATTTATGGCACTCATAATGACCTACAAAAAGCTAGAGTAATCGAAGCTGATTGCATTATTCTTAAATGAGTTAACAAAGCACGCAACAAAACCTGATCTTTCTTGGCCTCTTAAAGTTCATATATTTTTTAAAGGCATCAGATTGTTTGATTTGTAGTAGTCAAGAACTAGTTGTATGAAAGAGAAGTAGGTAACTTCTTGGTAGATTCATATCAAAGTTTCAAATACCGGTTGGACCGATACATACATACTGGTTATCACTGGTCCTAACAAGAATCAGAGCCGGACCATGGTTGTACCAGTCATTTAATTTTTTCACTTATTTTTCGATTGTATCAGGTGGTACAGGTCATTATGCCAGTACTATATTGGTCCAACCGATCGTTGAATAAAATTTCAGAGCAAGATTTAAAACTTGATCCTAATAAAACTTTAGAGAAAGGAGAAATGGCAAGAAAATGTATTGCTGTTAATGATATATATCAGCCAAAGGTGCTTCCAACAAGATATACATGTAATTAATTATTGTTGTGTGTGATCAATTTGGATTTCAGATCTTTTGATGTTTTATCATGGATATAAGATGTTCTCTATTAGGTAAACATAATTTGGTGTCATAACTCTCACCTTATTGATCGTAAAATACAAGGACAATTCTCTGATCCATTTGGCAAGCAATGATGGCCCGTGCTTGTTTCCCATCCCCTGGAAGTTGCAACAACTGCTTGCATGAGTTTCTCGTTTCATATCAAAGTATGTACGAACCTTTAGACTGAAAGAACTGTGTGGATTTTGATTGCATTTGTTGATTAAAGTTTATAAATCTAAGAATGATTCACCAACCTATATGGTATCCTCCGTCTTGCTCGCAATTATTGTTAGGTTCCTTGATCTGCTAATTGAAAGATCGAGTGATTTGTCGATTTCTTCTTCCAGGTACTTGATAGCCTCACACACAACTGATTACCGGCATCCTATGCTTTTCCTGAATACAGTTGCAGTGATTGTGCTGGTCATTGCCAAATTGCCTAACATGCACAAAGTACGGATATTTGGCATCAATGCAGGTCACTGAGTGGCAGTTCATGATAACTTCCTGAGAAAAGATGTTCTTTGTAGATTGCAGGTTCCTTTTCTGGTACTAAATGGGGCCTAGTGGTAATGAATGGCCTACAACAAGCCAGTAAGGTGTTTACATAATCCTTGTACAGAGTACATAAGTTGAAAGGGAGTTTCGGTGTTTATGTTAATTGCCAAGTTTGTAACTAAGAACAGAGAACAGAATGAAGAAGTCGATTGCAGATCGGCTTTCATTTTTTCTTTGGTGTTTGTAATTACAGATCTCTTTGAAGGATCCATTCTGAGTTGGAGCCCTTCTTCATCATCTAACTCTCCATACAGATGCATCATTAAGCTCGAGGATCAATGGATGTACATTGATTGTAATTAGTAGGACATCAGATGTTAGGTTGAGCAGTGGTCAAAAACATGCTGACAAACGTTTAATATAATTGATCAAACATAATACTTAAAACTTAGAGAAAGCTTGCACCAAATTCATCTTTGGGATAAAGATAAAGTAAAAGCATGCATCTAAAGGATCATACTCTGAGTTATCTTTACAAGTAAAAGCATAGTACTTTTAGGTGTTCGGCCCTTACAAAGTGCTTCTCAAACTTACGAGGGTTTGAAAGGATCACTGGCTTCTTCAAATACTAGAAAAGGTGCACTAACGCAGTTTACCACAAGAATTCACTTGTGGCCCTTGCAGACCCTCACGCACCACTAGTGTTCCCTCCCCTTACACTTCCATCAGTACCGACCACCGTGAAATCTAGTGTCGGTGGTCTCGACATGACCAATCCGGTTGCTCTTCTAGCCATCCCTCTCCTCAGCAGCTCTGTTGTTGAGTTGATATCAACAGCAGTGCATGTGTTTCAGCTATTTTTGTTTCCGACGCTGCTGCTTCTGCTGAGCTGGGAAATTGTTGAGCTCAGGCAGCGGCGAAGAAAGGATCTCGGTGGATTGAACGAGAGATTAAAATTCCGATTTAGTTTAGTATTGAAAACCTACATAGATTAATATTGATGTATAAGGATATGATGTGTGTATTATTATTAATTTAAATTTAAATATTTTAGATTATTAATTTAGATTTAACAATTTAACAAATCAGTTATCCTATCACACTTGTAACTGTATTCTATTAGGATGTGGTTTCAAATCCATGTTTTTGAAAACTGATCGATTAATTTGTGTTTAATTCTCAATATCGCAGCGCAAAAAACACTTAAACATATATATCTAACAGTAGGTTAAGGTATTCATAAGTTTTCACTTATAGAAAAAATATCAATTATTATGATTGTTCGAGATGGAACCTATCGTCTTGAAAAAACAAAGAGTGATCCTGCTATAGACATGATACATTATAAATTAAAGAAGTTCAATCCCTAAGATATTTCTTAAGGAGGAGTCAAGATGACTATGCCTTGAACATATATATATATATATACATATATATATATATATATATACATATATATATATATATATA